AAAAAAAAAAATTAGCTGGGTGTGGTGGTGCGCAGCTGTAGTTCCAGTTACTTGGAAGGCTGAGGTGGAAGGATCACCTGAGCCCAGCAGGTTGAGGCTGCAGTGGCCACGAGCAATGTGCCACTGCACTCCGGTCTGTGCAACAGAGTGAGACTCCGACTCAAAAAAAAAAAAATTGTATTTATTCTTACATGGCTAAACTTCAGTCACCTTCAAATTACTCTCCGTTTGGTGCAATACGTCTTTCGAGATGCTTCTTTCACTGCTCAGAACACTTTTTGAACTCATCAATTTTGATGCCTTTTAGTGCTTCTGCCATTTTTTGTTTCATGTCTTTCACATCGGTAAAATGTTTCACTTTGAGGACTTTTTTCATCAGGGAAACCAAAAGTCACTCGTGATGAGATCAGGTGAATAGTGAGGGTGGGGCATGGGATCATGCTGATTTTGGTCAAAACCTGTGAACACTCAGTGTGATGTGGGCAGGTGTGCTCATAAATCACCCATTATGAAATGGGCAAACATGTTGAAAGAATCTCCAAAAAAAAGTGACCGAAGCTGAACGTAGCCTCTTGCAACATTGCTAGCTGGTACACTGATGCCGATGGGTTCCTAGAAGGAGCTCAGCCTCAAAACATAATTCTGGGTTTTTTATTTCTCCTCCTTGTAAAGGTAGCTTTGGTTTTCACTTTTTTTTTTTTAATGATTGCTTTTTTGTTTGCTTTCATTTTTATTTTTTAATCATACAAGATATTTACATGGTTTCAGAATTAAAACTGTGAAACAAGATCTAGTCAGAGAAAAATATGGTATACCATAAAGTGGAATATTGTTCACCCTTAAAAAGGAAGGAAATACTGTCACATTCCCCAACATGGATGAATCTCAGAGACAGTATATTAGATGAAATAAACCAGATACAAAAGGACAATTATTACCTAGTTCCGCTTACATGAGGTACCTCGAGTAGTTAAATTAATAGAGACAGAACAGTGGCCAGCAGGGGCCTGTCAGGAAGGAGACATTGCTTCATGGCGATGACTCAGTGCAGGACCATGAAGATGTTCTGCAGGTGCACAGTGGTGTTGGCTGCACAGCAGGTGAATGTACCAGTGCCACTGAGCTGTGCACATAAAACTGGTCACAATAGTATACAGTATGTATATGTTACCACCAACAAAAAGAAGATACATTGAGGGAGGTCTGGTTTCTGTCCCTTTGCCTTTGTTCGCTTGCTTCCTCTATTGGCAACCATCATTTACAGGTTTTGATTTCTCATTCTGTTGTGTTTTTTTGATAAGCAATTTTTTTTTTTTGCTTATTAAAAAAATAGTAATATATTTGTACTTCACCCATTTCTTAAAAGTAGTGTTTCTGCACCTTTTACAGTTTATAGAGTTTTTTCTCATTTCTTTTTTTATACTCTATTGTTGAAGAGCATCTGAGTTGTTTCCAGTCATTTACTATTCCAAATAGAACTGAAGCCAGGTGCGGTGGCTTACCCCTGTAGTCTGAGCACTTTGGGAGCCACAGTGGGTAGATGTATTTGTGATTTTGCTAAATATTGCTGGAGTCCCCTCTTCAGGCATTCTGCTTCCCCACCAGTAGTGTTTAAGTGTACCATAGCCTCACTAGCAGAGTCTCTTATAAATATGTTGGATTTTTACCAGTTTGTTAAGTGAGATAGTATATCTGTTTTCTGTTTGTTTTTTTAGTTGGAGTCTCACTCTGTCACCCAGGCTGGAGTGCAATGGTACGTTCACTGCCACTGTAGTCTTGACCTGTTGGGCTCAGGTGATCCTTCTGCCTCAACCTTCTAAGTAACTGAAACTATAGGCCCATGCCACCACACCCAAGCAATTTTTTGATTTATTGTAGAGATGAATCTCGCCAAGTTGCCCAGGCTGGTCTTGAACCCCTAGGCTCAGGCAGCCCTCTCGCCTCAGTCTCCCAAAGTGCTAGGATTACAGGTGTGAGCCACTGCGCCCAGCCTATGTCTCAATTTTAATTTGCATTTCTTTTATTATGAGGTTGGACATCTTTCCATGTGTCTCAAGGGCCTTTGCCCTTTTTTTTTCTGTGACCATTCCTGTCTTTTGTTCATTCTTGTACTAGGTTGGTCTTTTTCTTCTTTGTATATAAGGATGAGTTCTGGGGCCTTACCCCTGCCATACTGAAGTAGAAAGTTTGAGGAGGGTTCCAGCAGTTCGTGTTTTAACACATTCTCCAGGTGATTCTCATGCTTGATAAAGTCCATTTTCTCTCCTTTCTAAAATCTTCCAGTTGTTAGCATACCATTGGATTGTAACATCCACATCTTTTTTTTTGAGTTGGAGTCTCACTCCGTTGCCTAGGCTGGAGTGCCATGGCACACTCACGGCTACCCCAGTGTCGACCTGCTGGGTTCTGGCAGTCCTTCTGCCTCAGCCTTCCAAGTAGCTAGACCTACAGGTGTGCGCTACCATGCCCTGCCAATTTTTGATTTATGTAGAGACGAGGTCTCACTAAGTTGCCCAGGCTGGTCTCGAACCTGTGGGCTCAGGCAATCCACTTGGCTCGGCCTCCCAGAATTTTGGTTACAGTCCTCTTCCATCCTCTGGGGCACTCTTTTTTTGTTTGTTTGTTTGTTTTGTTTTTAATTTGTGACCATATCTCAGAGAAACATAGTCTGAAGAAGTCCTGAGAAGGTGCATCCCACTCACCCTCCTTGAGACTCCTGCTGGTGGGCACTGTTGCTCCTCACTGACTCTGGCTTCTGCTGACTCCCATTTCCACACAGGAACCAGCCTCGGTAGTTCTCTGACCTCTTTTCTCCAGGTGTCTCATCTTCCCTCCTGCCTTGGTCCCTCCATGCCTGTGTCCCTAGAGCAGTGCTTCCCAAACTTCATCTTGTGCTAGAGTTTAATGCAAATGACTGTGCTGTTTACTGTCAAATACAGCAGCTGTTGTTGATTTCATGTTAATATGTATTCTTTGTTATTTATTTATTTATTTATTTATTTATTTATTTTGAATCAGAGTCTTACTCTGTTGCCCAGGCTCAAGTGCAGTGGCACGCTCATGGCCACTGCAGCTTTGACCTGCTGGGTTCAGGCAATCCTTCTACTTCAGCCTTCCAAATAGCTGGCATTATAGGCATGCACCACCACACCTGGCTAATTTCTTAATTTATCGTAAAGATGAGGTCCCGCCAAGTTGCTCAGGCTGACCTCGAATCTCTGGGCTCAAGTAATCCTCTTGCCTTCACCTCTCAAAGTTCTGGGATTACAGGTGTGAGCCACTGTGCCTAGCTTTCTTTGTTTTTGTTTTTTGTTTTTAGATTGGAAAATACCATTTATTTAGAAAGTAAATTTTAGATAGGAGAGAGAGAGATTCACCTTCCCAAGGTAGGGGAGAGGGCCAAAGCTAAGAAACATGGCAGTCATAACTCAACATGAACACACCAGAATTTAACAAAGCAATGCCATTCTTTGTTATTTAAAAAAGTTTCTTTGTACATTGAGAACTTTGTGCAGGAGCATAATCTTTGACCCTCAGTTTCTATGAAATGGGAATGGTAACAACATCTAGCCTGTCATTCAGCTGTTGGGAGGATCAGAAACCCTTATACTGGGGCCCACAGGAATTGAAGGTATTTTTATTGATTTTCCCTGGTATTTAGGCAGCAGCTTCCTAGTTGGGTCTTATGATCAAAGAAATTTGCTCAGAACTCATGTTCAGTTCAATGGTAGATCATTTATATATATATATATATTAAAATCATAAGTCCTTAGGATGGCTGTGCATTGGGCATGAGCATAGAATATCAGGTCTAGAAGAATGCTGGCTCTGTAATGCTTCTCAGGGAAAGGAAACCTAGGGCTTGATTTGCTGAGCAACATCATGAGGCCAGTATACAGCTGTCCTGCTACCTGTCTAGCTCTTGCCTTGTAGGTGTGTATACATTAGGCACTCTATTTATGGACCTTTCTGATAATCATGTAGCATGCCTTTATGATTCATAGCAGCCTTGTCCTAGCTGTGAGGAATCCCATTCTGTCATTAGAGTATTTCCTGAGAAACCTGGCATATTAGCTGTTATACTCAGAGTTGCCAGAAGCAATGCAAATGATTCCAAATTGAGCTTGAGAACTGTTCAGTATTTTTTACAAATGATAACAATAGTTAACATTTAGTGAGTGTTTTATATGCATCATTTAATCCCCATAGCAACTCTGTGTGATGAATACTATATCATCCCTGTTTTACTAATGGGAAAATGGAAAATTTAGGAGGGCTGAATAGCTTATGCTGAATTGTCAGTGGTAAGTAGTGAGCTAGAATTTGAACCCAGGATGTCTGACTCTAGATTCCAAGCTCTGCATCACCAAAGTGTGCTGCTGCCAGAGGTGACAGCCCGGTCACATGACAGTGGCACTCTCTCATGTTATCTGTATCCAAATGTGTGCTCTAATTAGCTTGAACTGAAAGTTATTACTACATGATAGAAGCACTATATGATTTAATGGTTTCTATAATCTTTAATAATTTATGATAGCACACACATCTCAAATAAGTGTTTGCCTTGTATGGGCTCATCCGATTTTTATTTATTTAATCTTTTTAAGTAGCCCTTTTCTTTGGCATCAGTCAATTTTTGTTAAAGCTACATGATTCTATTTAAACTTTCAAAACCTTTTTTATGATCAATATTAAAAAGAAATTAGAAATTAAAGAAATCTATTCTGTGTACATCTGAAAGTCTTCTTAAATGGAACTAATGGGACCTGTAGCCCCTTTTATATTGGATGATGACAGCAACAAGAGCAGGGCTCATCTGAATTCAGAATGACCAGCTTTATCTGGGGATAATTAGAATCTGTGGTGACTTCTCAGAGAGGACTTTATGTCACTCTAGAATCGTGCAGCCTACAGAAGAGGTCCTGTCCATCTCCTGTTTTCATGTGCTGTTGGAATCGGTTGAGTTCAACACTGTGAACAATCCCCTCCTCTCTCCGCAGTGTATGACTCCTGAGCAGCTGATGACGTTATGCAGAGCAAGCGTACATAGCAGTCACGTCGGCGTTCGAGTGAATGTCGTTAGCATTTTAGGAATCACTGGCAGCGTCCTGGCCAAGGAAGATGGTACACTTGAGACACTTAAGGTAAAACAGTTTGTTCCAACCTAACATGTTAGATAATTAGAAACAGGAGAAGAGTAACTGGTGTACGACTTTTGAAAACTTCCATGGACATGAAGAGAAGGCATCTTCATGTTACATTTTTAGAACGTACCCCTGGACTTACTCTGATTACATGTATTATTAGATAAATACTTGAGAAGTTGAGCTGTATTTTGCAATTTATCTTTAGAGATACTTTTACAAAGATAAACGTGTCTACCCTGAAAAGCCAAATTTAGAATTGTTAAAGATGCCTCTGCCTAGCTGGGCACAGTGGCTCACGCCTGTAATCCTGGATTGCCTGAGCTCAGGAGTTTGAGACCAGCTTGAGCAACACAGTGAGACTTCGTCTCTATAGTAAATAAAAAAATTAGCTGGCCATGGTGGTGCATGCCTGTGGTTCCACCTACTTGGAAGGCTGAGGTGGAAGGATCACCTGAGCTCAGCAGGTCGAGGCTGCGGCGGCCATGAGCGTGCCATTGCACTCCAGTCTTGGCAACAGTGAGACTCCAACTAAAAAAAAAAAAACGATGCTTCTGCCTTTGCTGTTGCATAAAATGCATGCGTGTTTAATTTTCCTGCATACCAGGGAGAAGGTATTCTGAAAAAACGTACACAGTTAATTTCAGTATCACTCCATGAGTTGTAAACCATGACCCTAGTGGTGCCGATCATTAGGAATTTACTCAGCGTATCGGCTCTCAGCACTTTATCATGGCACAGTTGCTTACAGACTACAGGGCTGGCATATAGCATCACTAGCAACTAACAATCAATTAGCATACTTACCCTTCATTGTGCTAATCATTGCTGAAATGTTGAGTACTGACTAATGGGCAATAAACTGATTATTATAAAATACCTCTTAATCCACTAAGAACTCCACAGTGATAACGGATGTTTTTAAGAATCTTTTTTGGAAAAACAGTACATGCACATAGAAAATCATTTAGAAAAGTACAAAAGCTTATACAGTAAAAGGATTCATGTCCATTATTAAACTTCTTATCCCCCAGTTCGCCTCTGGAGAGGCAGCTACTGTTACCTGTTTCTTCTGTAACATTCCAGAGTGTGTGTGTGTGTGTGTGTATCTGTGTGTGTGTATAAAATATATGTATGTATTTCCAGGGCTTACACACACACACACACAAGCCAGAGAGCCTATGAATGTGGCATGTATGTATACACATACACAGAAGAGCATGTGCATGTATAATCACTGCCCCTCACCCCAGGACTGTAACTTCCAAGATCAATATTAGTGGGTCAACATGTTTTTCTCAGACATAAGATTTTAAAATTGTTTTTTATATAGTCATGTTTCCAAGCAAGAATGAAAATAAAAAGTACAATGAATTTTGTGTACCATAAGCAGATTTAGCATTCATTATTTTTTTTTTAATTTAATAATTAGGGCCTTTGGGAGGCTGAGGTGAGTGGATTGCCTGAGCCCATAGGTTTGAGACCCGTTGGGGCAACTTGGCCAGATCTCATCTCTACAATAAATCAAAAAATTAGCCGGGCGTGGTAGTGTTCACCTGTAGTTCCAGCTACTTGGAAGGCTGAGGCGGAAGGATCACCAGAGCCTAGTAGGTCGAGGCTGCGGTGGCCGGGAGCGGCCACTGTACTCCAGTCTGGGCGACAGAGTGAAACTCCAACTCAAAAAATAATAATAATAATAATTAGGGATCCTGAACGTTCATTAGTATTCTATCATATATTTCATGTAGTTTATTTGCTGGGTGTGTTACAGTAAATTAAAGAAATAGTATTTTTTAGCCAGGCATGGTGGTACATGCCTGTAATTCCAGCTACTTGGAAGGCTGAGGTGGAAGGATTGCCTGAGCCCAGCAGGTCGAGGCTGCGGTGGCTGTGAGCATGCCACTGCACTCCAGCCTGCACGACAGAGTGAGACTCCAACTCAAAAAAAAAAAAAGTAATAGTACTTTGCCCCTATTGGTTCAGATGCATCTCTTAAAAATAGAGACAGTTTCTTATATAACTGCCATTATCATGCCTTACACAATTAATAGTCATTTCTTAATATGTCTAATGCCTGGTTCATATTCATAATTTTCCAGTTGGCTTCAAAATATCTGTGTACAGATAGTTTGTTGAACCCAGTAAAGTCCATGTGCTGAGTCTAGTTCGGGGTCCTCGGTGTCTCTCTTAGCCTAGAACAGGTCTCCCCCAGCACCACTGACTCTCCTTAGCTCCTGGGTCAGTTTGCCCATAGAGTCCAGCCTTCTGGATCTGTCTGATTGCTTCCTCACGGTAGTAAGCTTTATCCTCTGTATTTCCTGCAAACTGGGAGATAAATCTAAAGGCCAGATTAGACTCAGATGAGTCCTTTTGAATAAGAAAATTTTGTAGGTAGTGCTGTGTGCCAAATGTTACATTTTAGTGTATTACATCTGAATACTATCTCAGACATTATCAAGACCACTGACATGCACATGAGCACACGAAGGCCCAGAGAGGGGGACTGACTGTGCAGGAGTCCCCTGTTCATGGTGGGGCTGATGTTGAACTGCGTTCTGAGCATCTCCACCCTTCCACTTGGAGCATCACATTGCACATCACTCCTAAGACACAAGTGTGACGCAGGACAGCTGAACTATAATACTCTACTCTAGAGTAGTTCTTCACAGTTTGGGAATGTCTGTTCATTAGCTAGCTGTGCAGAAAAAATGGGTGAAGGTTAAAAACCAACCCATCTGGGTGCAGTGACTTATACCTGTAATCCCAGCACTTTGGGAAGTGGAAATGAGAGGATTGCCTGAGCCCAGGGGTTTGAGACCAGCCTGGGCAACTTGGTGAGGGCCCGTCTCTATGATAAAACAAAAAAATTAGCCAGGTGTGATAGCACATGCCTGTAATTCCAGCTACTTGGAAGACTGAAGCAAAAGAATTGCCTGAGCCCAGCAGGTCTAGGCTGCAGTGGCCATGATCATGCCACTGCACTCCAGCCTGGGAGACAAATTGAGACTCCAACTGAAAAAAGAATAACCCATATAGTGAAACCAAATGAGATTAAATACTGGGTTTTAAAAATATTATTATCTTAAAATGTTTTTCAGATACTTTTTGGGGGGAGCGGTGGGAGTCAGGGTCTCACTCTGTCGCCCAGACTAGAAGGCAGTGGCATGATCATCGCTCACCACAGCCTTGATCTCCTGGTCAAGCAGTCCTCCCACCTCACCTCCCCAAAGTGATAGGATTACAGGTGTGAGCCACCGCACCTGGCCTCATATTTTTTGTTCCAGATAAGATTTCTGTGCAATTTGGCATCATGAAGAAGTCCTTTTTGTGGAAAGTAGAAGGGAAAATTGAAGGATTTCCAAAATCATATATCATTTATAAATCCTAATTCACTGTATTTAGGAATATAAACTTTAATATCTTTAATGTATCTTCTTATATTACATTTGGTATATTTATAAGTATTTAAGTCTATTCTTTTAAAATTTTTCATTACTTTGGCATGCTTACATGAAATAGTATGCATGAGATATTGCCACATTTAGAGTTGGCACTCATCTTGGAGACTGACCTCAGTCATATGCTGCAGTGTGCTGTGCTGTTTGCAGACCATCGGGTGCCTTCTGCTTGAGGTTGCCACCAAAGATCCTTCCCTTGTGGTAGCAGGAGAAGCCTTGGATGCCCTCTTTGATGTTTTTGCCGATGGTAAAGAAGCTGAAAGAGCCTCTGTTCAAATTAAATTGTTATCCATTCTGAAAGAATTCCAGCCAGTCTTCAAAATGAAGGTATGTAGCTGTTTAACACATGGTGTCTCAACATACTGTGGGATGTATAGTTACCACCCTGCATGTGCATGACAAGTTCCTGTAAAGGCATGTGCATGACAAGTTCCTGTAAGGCTCAGTGATTAATGTAGCACTTCCCCAGTACTTTGTGAAGTGCTTGTTGTGTGACTCATAACTCAGTGTTACTGTTGAATCACTGAAACTTGAATCCAAAGTGGTATCTGACAAGTTTCTTTTTTTTGTTTTTTCTCTTTTAATTTTTATTTTTTTGAGTTGGAGTCTCACTCTGTCACCTAGACTGGAGTGCGGCGCCGCTCCCGGCCACCATAGCCTCAACCTGCTGGGCTCCAGCAATCCTTCCGCCTCAGCCTTCCAAGTAGCCGGAACTACAGGCGTGCGTTACCATGCCCGGCTAATTTTTTTATTTATTGTAGAGATGAGGTCTCGCCAAGTTGCCCAGGCGGGTCTTGAACCTGCGGGGTTTTTTTCTTTTTTAACATTTTAGTGATGTTAACAGTGCTTTGGCCAGGCATGGTGGCTCACACCTGTAATCCCAGCAATTGGAGTTCAAGACCAGCCTGGGCAACATAGTGAAACCCTCATCTCTATATATCTAAAAAATAAAAATAAATAGAATAATGCTTCATATATATAATTTTTTTTTTTTTTAGTTGGAGTCTCACTCTGTCTCCCAGCCTGGAGTGCAGTGGCACACTCACAGCCACCACAGCTTCCACCTGCTGGGCTCAGGTAATCCTTTTGCCTCAGCCTTCCAAGTAGCTGGAATTACAGGTGTACACCACCACACCCAACTCATTTATTTATTTATTTATTGTAGAGACTGAGGTCTTGCTAAGTTGCCCAGGCTGGTCTCAAACCTCTGGGCTCAGGCAATCCTCTCGCCTCCGCCTCCCAAAGTACTGGGATTACAGGTGTGAGCTACCACACCCGACTTATAAATATGTACTCTGTAGTTTACAAAACACTTTTTTTGTTGTCGTTGAGTTGGAGTCTCACTCTGTCATCCGGACTGGAGTGCAGTGGCCGCTCCCAGCCACCGCAGCCTCAACCTGCTGGGCTCCGGCAATCCTTCCGCCTCAGCCTTTCAAGTAGCCGGAATTACAGGCATGTGCTACCATGCCCGGCTGATTTTTTGATTTATTGTAGAGATGAGGTCTCGCTGCCCAGGCGGGTCTCGAACCCGTGGGCTCAGGCAATCCACTCACCTCAGCCTCCCAAAGGCGCGGGATTACAGGCTGAGCCACCGAGCCCGGCTTACAGAACACTTTTATACACATTTTAAATTTATGTTATGTAGCACATTATATGTCAATTTCATTGTTATGGATAATTCCCTTTGGTACTCTTAAAAAAAGGCAAACTCCAGGTTAATTGTGTATTGAAGAATATGACTACTACCTTTGCTAACCATTTTACTATTTATTGTTTCATCAAAAGTATGAAAGCTAACTTTTGTCAAAAAATAGTTTCAAAAACTTTTTGTGAGGGAATAGGAAAGCAACCAGGAATTTTAAAAATAAACTGGCTGGGCACAGTGACTCACGCTTGTAATCTCAGCACTTTGGAAGGCCAAGGTAAGAGAATTGCTTAAGCCCAGGAGTTCGAGACCAGCCTGGGCAACATAGCAAAACTTCATCTCTATAAAAAAAATCAAAAAATTATAGACCTGCAGACCTGTAGTCGTAGCTACTTGGGAGGCTGAGGTGGAAGGATTGTCTGAGCCTGGGAGATTGAAGCTGTGGTGAGCTGTAATCATGCCTCAGACTGGATGACAGAGTGAGACTCTTTGACTCCAACAAAAAAAAAGATTGAATTACTTGTTTGTTTATAAGTTTACCATTGTCCTCTTGTCTAAATCCCATTTTTAAAATTACATAATTTTGAGAAATATAAAAATGTATATTTTAGCTAGAAGCTTTTTTTTTTTTGAATTGGGGGTCTCTGTCGCCCAGGTGGGAGTGCAGTGGCATGATTATAATGATCACAGCTCATGGTAGCCTAGAACTCCTGGGCTCTGGCGATCCTTTCATCTCAGCATCCCAAGGAGCTGGGACTACAGGACATACCACCACACCCGGCTAATTTTGTATTTTTTTGTAGAGATGAGGTTTTGCTATGTTGCCCAGGTTGGTCCTGAACTCCTGGACTCAAGCAGTCTGCCTGCCTCGGCCTCCCAAAGTGCTGGGATTACAGGCATGAGCCATTGCACCTGGCCAGCCTATAGTATTTTTTTATATGAAGCTCTTTTTTGTCAAATGAACCCACAATTATATTAAGGGCCATTTAGTGTGTATTTAGCCTAAAATTGTATTTAAACACAATACGATGCATTTTATCAAAGTAATTCTCTGGAGCGGTGTTTCTCCAAAGTGTTCTCCCTGTGTCAACAGCATCTGAATCGCCTGGTAACATCTTCGAAATGCAAATCCTCAGCCTCAGCTGCAGACCTACTTTGTCACAAGCTAAGGAAGGGCCCACCAGTCTGTTTTGTAATGAGCCTTCAGATGATATTCTTGCACTCTAAAACTTGAGAGCCACTGCTCTAGACCAGATGTGAAGTACAATTCATGTACCGTAAAACTCATATTAAAACTACAGACCAGCCTCTGGCTAACAAGGAAAATTCATTAGACTTTATACCTTTGAGAAAAGAAAAACAATTAAATATCATTGCCATAGCAGTGCATTCTAAGTAGAAACAGAACAACAGACCTTTTGGAAGTTGGGGGCTATTTTCCCAGTTCATAGTTAATATAATTCCTTTCTGTAGTTTATATAGCTTACTTAAAGCCTTCAGTTGCTTTTGTAACTAGCATTGTAAAAGTGCACATTCTGTATTTACCTTTTATTATTCACATACTGTGTTCCATTTACCTTGGAACTGGAAATATTTCACCGAATACTTGCAGCTGTCTCGTTCAGAAAAATGGCTAAATACACCCTAAACTAAAAACTTTATTTTAGCACATTAATAACATATGCCAAATCATGTATGGTTTTTTTTTTCCAGATACGTAAAGAAGGGAGAGGTAAATACAGTGCAGATCAGCTGTGTGTTCTTGACAACGTGAAGATGAACTTGAGAAGATTTGTTGCTTATCAAGAAACTGTTGAGAAAAGACTGACTTCTTAAAAGTCAAAAAAGAAGCTAGTGCTTCCCCAAAGTACTTGATGCTCAGAATACTAAAGGGTTTCTTTTGAGTGTATAAGTTCCTGAAAGTCAGTTTTAGTGTTTATAGTCTGCACATTAATTTGAAGTTTATAAAAACTTCAAAAACTTGTCAGAAACTCTTTTTTAAGCCTTGGGATCTGTGTGGCATTGCTAGTGCTCTCTAAATTATGTCTCCAGCATATTTTAATCACTGAAAACACAAAGAAATCTCAGGTGGTTCTTAACTAACTCGTGAGCAGTGAAGAAACTTCAATCATGTTTTCCTTGAATTTTTCAAAAAAGGAAATTCCAGAACATTGCTTGGATGCTCTTTTAAGGCAATGCTGTTTTCTATCAACTGAATATTTAACTGAATGTGAAGGTAAGCTTTATAAAATAACTTTTTGGTATGAAATATACCAGTGCTCTTTGCCTTTTGTGAAGAGGTGAATGAGTTGAATTTGTACGTGACTCCTTAATGGATTATACTTCAATGAGCTAATGTGGTCATGCCATCCTCTATACAGATGGATCTGATCAGTTACTGCTATAACAGCACTCCTTGATTTAATTTGATATGGAATCAGAATTGAGAAAAAATATTTTTGAATAAATAACTTTTTAATTGAAAGCTTTGTGTCTTACAAAATATTTTTTGAGATACTAAATGATCCTATCCCTGGGTGTTTGCTTGCTAATAGGTATTGCTTCAAATATTTGTAAGATATTTTTAAAAGCCGGCCTCAGTGGCTCAGCCTGTAATCCCGCCCTTTGGGAGGCTGAGGTGAGTGGATTGCCTGAGCCTGCGGGTTTGAGGCCCGCCTGGGCAACTTGGCAAGACCTCATCTCTACAATAGATCAAAAAATCAGCTGGGTGTGGTAGCACATGCCTGTAATTCCGGCTACTCAGAAGACTGAGGCGGAAGGATTGCCGGAGCCCAGCAGGTCGAGGCTGCAGTGGCCGGAAGTGGCCACTGCACTCCAGTCTGGGCGACAGAGTGAGACTCCAACTCAAAAAAAAAAAAAAAAAAAAGAAAGATATTTAAAAAAAAAAGAGGGATTTTCCAACATTATCTCCAAATGGGGGTAATAGGGTGACAGTGGGGGCTCAAGGAGGGAATGTGCAGCGTTGTATCGGGGGGCTTGGGATCAGCTTCATCATCCATCATTTACCTGATCAAAAGAGTTGCTGGTGGAGTTTTAAAACCTTCTGCCCAGTTGATCTCAGTCGCCCTGATAAAAGACCCAAGGACAAGGACAGAGCTTCGTTTTTAATCACTCCTTCTAAAGCTGCATAAGTGAACTGGTATTATATTTCATCTGTACCATGACATAGTTTATAGTTTTAACCTGTATGATATAGATTGTTGGGAACCAAGATTGTTTTCCAGCCCTAGAAGTCACTACACCCATGAGACCAAGTAAAATGAACATATTCCACAGATGGTGGGAAAATGGATATGGTATGCCATATGCAAAATGTAGCTTCATTATGTTTCTTGATCATGAATTGTATGTGTATTTCACAATTGTTTCAGCTACATGATTGAACCAAATGTGTCTTCTTTGAGAGAGGATCTTCCAATGAATAAACTGAGTTCTCGCTGCCTCAGATACTGATAGTGTGTCATTATTTTCCTGGAGAAGAAAAATTTCAATTCTGTTCTTCCCACACTTTCTAACCTATAAATAATACTCAAACCAGGCGTGGTTCACACCTGTAATCCCAGCACTTTTGGAGGCAGAGGTGAGAAGATTGCCTGAGTCCAGGTATTCAAGACCAGCGCAACTTGGTGAGACCTCATCTCTACAATAAAAAAATTAGCCGAGTATGGTGGCATGTGCTTGTGGTTCCAGCTACTTGGAAGGTTGAGGTGGAAAGATCCCCTGACCCAGCAGGTTGAGGCTACAGTGGCCGTGAGCATGCCACTGCACTCCAAACTGGGTGACAGAGTGAGATTGCGACTCAAAACAAAAAAATGCAGAAATGGTACAGACCTACTACATAATAGGTTCTCAATAAATATTTGTCAACTGAATCATTGTTAGTGATTGTCTATTAAGCAAGCTCTAAGGCAATTGTTGGATAAAAAGTTATAGATCAGTAGAAGATGAGTTACTATATTGAAGATGTCTGGCCTAAGAATTTTTTAGATTCTGCAGCATAAGTAGTTTGGTCTGTATTGCTGTCATTCAGTTTTACTACTTTAACAGCAGGAACAAAAGGGAAGCAAATTTTAAATATACTCTATAGCTTTAACTATTTACATAATAACCCAGTAGAGCATACAAGTGTTATTTATGGTACAATAGAATACAGTGTAGTTTTTCCTATATGACCATAGGAAAAGACTGTCTAATATACTTACTCGAGCCAGGTGCAATGGTTCAAGCCTGTAATCCAAGCACTTTAAGAGGCTGAGACCAGAGGATTGCCTGAGCCCTCAAGGGTTCAAGACTAGCCTGGGCAATTTGGTGAGATCTCCTCCCTACAATAAATCAAAAAAGGAGCTGGACATGTGGCTCACACCTGTATTTTCAGCTACTTAGAAGGCTGAGGTGGAAGGATTGCCAAAGCCCAGCAGATTGAGGTTGCAGTGGCCATGAGCACGCCACTGCACTCCAGCATGGGTGACGTAAGACTCTGACTAAAAAACAAACAAGCTTGCTTGAAAATCACCCAGAACTATCTGTTAGAAATATACACTCTTTTAAGTGTTAGCGTATAAACTCGTGAAATCCTTTGCTTTAGAAGATATATTTGGCTGGGCTTAGTGGCTCACACCTAGAATCCCAGCACTTTGGTAGATAGAGATGAAAGGATTGCCTGAGCCCAGAGGTTCAAGACCATCCTGGGCAACTTGACCTCATCTCTGCAATAAGCCAAACAACTAGCCAGGTGTGGTGGCGCACCCCTGGAGTTCCAGCTACTTGGAAGACTGAGGCAGAAGGATTGCCTAAGCCCAGCAGGTTAAGGCTGTGGTGGTCATGAGCATGCCACTGCATTTCAGCCTGGATGACAGTAGAAACTTTGACTAAAAAATACATATATATATTTGCCAAGCATGGTGGCATGCACCTGTAGTTCCGGCTACTCAGGAGGCTGAGGGGGAGGATTGCTTCAACTCAGGAGTTCAAGGCTGCAGTAATCTGTTATTGAATCACTGCACTCTAGCCTGGGCAACAGAGCAAAACTCCATCTCTTTAAAAAAAATAAAAATAGGACGGATGCAGTGGCTCATGCCTATCTATAATCCCAGCACTTTGGGAGGCCAAGAAGAGGATTGCTTGAGCCTGTGAGTTCAAGACCAGCCTGGACTACTTGACAAAATCTCATCTCTACAAAAAAAAAAAAAAAATTAGCTGGATATGGTGGCGCATATGTGCAGTTCCAGCTACTTGGAAGGCTGAGGCAGAAGGATCACCTGAGCCCAGCAGGTCAAGGCTGTTGTGGCCAGGAGCATGCCACTGCCCTCCAGCCTGGGTGACAGAGTGAGACTCCAACTCAAGAGATAAATAAATAAAATTTAAAATAAATCACAATTTGTAAAGTTATTTTTAAGTGTTCAACCTGCCATAGCATGTTTGCACAAGGAAATAAAAATCACTGCTTTACTTTTCATCTTTTTTTTTTTTTTTGGCCTTTAAAATGGAAACACATTTTATTTTAAAAGAGAATTGGGAAATATCAGTCATTTAATTACATTTCTTCTTGCAGTATTATATTTTGCAATGAAATGCCTTTGAGTTGTCAAGGTAGGGAAGATTTTTCTCTCTCCAACTTGTTTACCCAGTTCTGTGGGAGGCTTGTTTCCTGTCCTTTTGAAATTGCATGGATCAGTACATGATTATATTTAACAAATACATAGAACATGAGCAACCTTGGAACTTTCTTCACCATATCCAGAAGTTCTATAGTAAAGTTATACGAGGGCCCCCCTACCCCCCAAAAATACTCTTTATTTATTAAAAATTCTGTGTTGTTACATGTTTAAACTTCAGTCACCTTCCAAGTACTCTCTGATGCAATACATCTATTGAGATGCTTTTCCACTGTTCAAAACAGTTTTTGAGCTCTTTTGAGCAATTTTGATGACTTTCAGTGTTTCTGCCATTTTTTGCTTTGCCTCTTCCACATCAGCAAAACATTTCCCTTTGAAGGCTTTTTTTTTTAAGTCGAAGTCTCACTTTGTTGCCCAGGCTGGAGTGCAGTGGCATGCTCACAGCTACCACAGTCCCGACCTGCTGGGCTCAGGTGATCCTTCTGCCTCAGCCTCCCAAGTAACTAGGACTACAGGCAAGTGCCACCACACCCAGCTAATTTTTGATTTATTGTAGAGATCGCCAAGTTGCCAAGTCTGGTCTCGAACCCGCGAGCTCAGGCAATCCTCTTGCCTCCACCTCCCAAAGAGCTGGAATTGCAGGTATGAGCCACCGCACCCAGCTTGAGAACCTTTTTTTCATCCTGGGAAACAAAAAAGTCTCTTGGAGTGAGATCAGGTTAATAGGAAGAGTGGGGCATGGGGGTCATGCCAATTTTGGTCAAAAACTGCGGAACACTCAGCACGGTGTGGGCAGTGCGCCTCAAATCTCCCATCATGAATGGGCAAACTTATTGAAAGAATCTCCAAAAAATCCATGGAAGCCAAACGCAGCCTATCCCAACACTGGCTGGCACACTGATGCCGATGGCTTCCTAGAACACTCACCTAGTGGGGAAAGCCTGTACTACAAGGGACCTGCTCTCCAAAAAATAATTCCAGCGTTTTTTTGTTTTGTTTTGTTTGTTTGTTTTTGGTTCTCCTTGTTCTATAGTTTTGTTTTTGTTTTTCTTTTTGTTTTTTTGAGTTGGAGTCTCACTCTGTCGCCCAGACTGGAGTGCAGTGGCCACTCCCGGCCACCGCAGCCTCGACCTGCTGGGCTCCGGAGATCCTTCCTCCTCAGCCTTCCAAGTAGCCGGAATTACAGGCGTGCGCTACCACGCCCGGCTAATTTTTTTTTTATTTATTGTAGAGATGAGGTCTCGCCTGCCCAGGCGGGTCTCGAACCCACGGGCTCAGGCAATCCACTCACTCAGCCTCCCAAAGGCGCGGAATTACAGGCTGAGCCACCAAGCCCAGCTGTTCTATAGTTTTTTAGGGTTCTTTTTAGTTGAGGTCTCATTCTGTTGCCCAGGCTGGAGGGCAGTGGCACACTCACGGCCAACCCAGCGTCAACCTGCTAAACTCCTGCGATCCTTCCGCCTCAGTCTTCCAAGTAACCGGAACTACAGGCATGCGCTACCACGCCTGGCCAGTTTTTTTTATTTATTGTAGAAACGAGGTCTCGTCAAGTTGCTCGTCAAACCCGTGGGCTCAGGCAATCCACTTGCCTCAGCCTCCCAAAGTGCTGAGATTACAGGCTGAGTCGCTGAGCCCAGCCTATGATACAGTTTTTATTTTTATGTTTTTGTAAAGACAGGGTCTCGCTTTGTTGTCCAGGCAGTTTTGAACTCCTGGCATCAAGCAGTCTTTCCTCCTCAGCCTCCTGAGTAGCTAGAACGACAGGTCCACACCATCTGCCTGTCGTATAGTATTTTAAAACATTCACTTTGGCAGCAGAAGACTCCCCCTCCTTGCCATTTTATTTTTA